CCCCCCCCGCCGCCCCCAGCCGCTGCTGCATCCTTGCCGCTCATGGAAACGGAAGTGGGGCAAGCTTCGGAGCTGGGCTGGATGACGGATGTATTCTGGTTCAGATTCAGATCGACATCACCAGTGGTCGTAACTGGGTCTTGTAAATCCTCCACCTCATCCCAAGCCCTGGTTCCAAGGGTCCACGCCTCATCAGCCATTCTCTCTAACTCTGTGAGATTGCCGGCGGCGGCGGCGGCCCCTCCGAGGATGCGGCCGTAGCGATACTGAAGAGGCTTGATCTTAAAAGAAAGAACGGGATTAGGGTTTTGGGGATCCGGGGAGCTGTGGAGGCCGGTGAAGGTCGGCTCGGGGTCGTCATCGGAGATGGTGAGGGAAGTGGAGATCTCGATGAATCTGCGGAACTTTAATGATATGAAGATCAGATAGAGGGCGGCGCCGGCGAGGATCAAATGGTACAGCTTCCCCCTTCGAACGCCCTCTACGCTCCGGCCCCTCTTCATCTATCTCTCTCTCTATATATATATACTCCAATTCAAATATAACTAGTTACATCTACAGTTGCAGGCAGAGGGGCATGAGCGTGAGGAGGTTAAAGAGGATTTCCTGGCAGATTTATGAAAATCTCCGACGACGATGGGTATTTTCCTTTTTCTTTTCTGGGGGAATTTGTAACAGGAAACGGAGGACACTAACAATTGCCGGCGAGAGAGAGAGAGAGAGAGAGGAGATGGGGAGACCTGACGTGGACTCCCAAGAAAAGAAAATTTAACCGCAAGGAAGACGAGGCTGGCGTGCCTATTTTTCAATTATCTTAATAGTATTTAGCCCCGTACAGGGTTTCAAAAAGATTTTATGCAAATACGAAACAAACATGTTATCAAAATAAAGTTTTAGTAAGGAAATAAACATGTTACTAACAAAAAAAAAAGATACTTAAGGAAATAAAAAGTTTTAGAATCAAAACATTATATACTAATAAAAAAAAGATAAACTGAATTAAATAGGGCAATGGCGATGCTCTCTCTAACCCACATGTATTACTATCACATCTAGATTAAAACACATTGTGGTAATTATCCTTATTTTCTCAGCTGCTTATCAAGATGATACTTCAAAGATAGTTTCATTTATCCTTTTCACATGTTTCATTATAATTCCAAGAAGTTATTTAAATATGTTTTCAAATTCAAGCGGCTTAGTTGTACATAAATACCCTACAGTTTAACCAAATTTGCACATATATATCCAGTAGGTGAAACTATAGGGTATTTAAGTGCAACTAAGCCAATTTAATCTGAAAATTAGTTAGTTTTACCTACTATCCAAAAAAACCAAAAAAAATGAAATCAAACAACAAGAACAACAACAACAATAATAATAAGAGTATTGCTTCGGTACTCCGAAATTAGCATTTTTATAATTTAAAAATAGTAAAAAATTCGAAAACAGACAGAAAAACAAAATGGGCAGTTTTGTCCTTAGTGTTTAGATTAGATCATTCCTATTATTTCTCTTTCTAAACTATTGTTCAACCTCAGTTTGAGTTCGCAACGTAGAAGAAGAGAAATCCTCCCTTCTCTTACTCACTATTTTGTTGGTGTAGTTTTAGTAAAAGAGAATGCAGTTCAGAAACTCATTATTCAACCTCAGTTTGAGAATGCAGTCTTCAGGAGAAAATTACAGTCAGATAAAAGAGAATGTAGTTCACGATTCAAATTATGAGCATAATAAACCTATGTCTCAAAAACTACCAGAATGCACTTCAGGTGAAACATTTTTTAAAAAAATAGCAGATTGGAAAACTACAGTCAAAACCCACTACCCGAATCGACATGAGCATACACAAGAGACCCAGGTCTCAAAAGCTACCAAAGTTTCACAAAAAATCATACGAAAGCAGAGGCTTTATCATAAAGGATTAAAAAAAGACTCAAACTTTAAAAAGAAAAACCCAACACTCAAATCGAAATTACATTCAAACAAAAAGATAACCCACAATAAACAACAAACCATGTATCAAAATATACCAAATTTTTACTTTAAAATAATGTAAAATGAAAGACTTATATGCAATAATGTAAGGAAAACAAATAAAACCCAACTAAAATTACGGAAATACTACAAATATATCAAAATTATAAATTTTAAGACAATCTACATCAGCAAATTAACGAAATATATTCAATTTTACAAAGGACAAAACCCAACTTGAAGATTTACAATGGGATTAAAAAAACCAGTTCCCGTATAAAAACACGTGTCCCATAAATAGCCCAAAAGCAGAGTTTTTCCAACAATGAGAGGAAAATAAACAAAACCCAGTTTCTCTATATCCAAACAACCAAAAAATAAATCAAAGGTGAGATTTTTAAAATACCTGCAGCAATGTAGGCTGTCTAAAAATCACAATAGATAGCTTATTCAAACAAGCTCCGACAACGGAGGTCACAATCAGACGACTTCCCAATCACTGCATCCGCAACTCCACAATTGCCACAAACGCGACCTCACCTCTGAGATGATTGATCTTGATGGCTGTGACAACAGCATGGCTAATATCGTAGCAACTATTAGAGATGCTGATGAGCAGTGGAACGATTTCAGAAATAAAAAGTTGGACTCAGTTGGTGAGTTGCTTGATAGAGAGCTATGGGCGAATATTCATCTTTAAGACACTATGGATGTTGATTCCCGTCTAGCTCCTACAACGAAAGCTACAATCAAATAGCTTTCGGGTCGATGATCGAAACATATAGTCGAATAGTTGCTTGGTAGAGAGCTATGGGCGAATATTCATCTTTAAGACACTATGGATGTTGATTCCCGTCTAGCTCCTACAACGAAAGCTACAATCAAATAGTTATCGGGTCGGTGAACGAATGTTGCGAATGGAGGGCTTTTCACATAGATCGAGAAGAGTTACAATTCAACGACACTTCCGACAACGGATGAAAACTCTATTCAGCAGTCTTCACAATCTACAGTGAAAGTTACAATCTGACAACTTTCACACTTCACAACAGCTAAAAGCCAGGATTACTGAACAACGGTCCTTGCAACGCTCTACAGAAGAAGTTACAAGTCAGCTAACTCCTTCTGAAACGCGGGTGTCATCCCCGCGTCATAACTTTGGAAATGAAGGCGACCCTCGCGTCGTCAATGCACAAGCCAAACGCGAGCGACCCTCGCGTTCAATGGTGTTCAACCAACAGCGACCCTCGCGTCGACAATGCACAAGCCAAACGTGAGCGACCCTCGCGTTCAATGGTGTCCAAACGCGAGCGACCCTCGCGTTCAATGGTGTTCAGCTAACACCCAACTTCGCGTCTCAATTCAAAGAACACGAAGTTGAGTTCTAAACGCCAGAATGGGCGTTTGACTTATTCAAACATAAGTCGAACGGTTCCAAAACCGTTTATCCCACGTTCTGAGGGATTTTCGCCCACGTAGGAGCGGATATAGGGGTCAGTTACAACCTCTTATCCCCCTATAAAAGCTCAACAAACCCAACAGAGCAACAGGTTGGATTTTTGACATCTGAACCGCACAGGTTGGAATTTTGACATCCGAACCGCACAGGTTGGATTCTCAGGATCTCAACCACTCAGGCTTGGAGATTCAGCAGCAACGAAATCCTTAGAGATAGGATTTTTGAATCAAACTCAGAAGATCAAATCTGAGAGGATTCTTCGACAACAGAAAAAACAGCTTGACATTAACCGAATTTTCGGTTCCAACAACTCTATTCACAGAGTTCAAACTCGTTCAGAGTTCTTAAACTCATTCAGAGTTATTCATAAAACTTTCCACGAAAGTTCATCGTTCCCACGAGATAAAGACGGTCGGATCGTCAACGGAGAGCAAGTTCGACGCAATCAATCGAAGGAAGCACTCCATCGCTGCCAAGAAGAACCCAGTTTTAAACAAAGGGGAAAACCAAATTCGTTTTCCTCTCTTTTGTAATCAAGTTGTAACCGAGATCAAAGGAATCAAAGTCACATTTTCTTTATTCTCTTCTTTACAATTTTCTCTACATACAAAAGATGGCGACTCTGCTGGGGAATAGCTTATGAAGTGGTGGCTCAGTCCGACGTCCACCTCTTGGGAACGACTGTAGAAACTCTCGTCGTAGAGTTTGATCAGGCGAAATACGAGGAAGCCCTATCCTCTGGATCGCTTAGCCCCAAGGCTAAACATGGTGTCCGTAAGATCTCCAAGGAGATCAATTCTGTTGTTGAAGAGCCGAAGAAAGCCCTCTCCTTCGGCCAGGAACTCAAACTGGCTCTGATGGCGGAAGATCCCACCTCCGCGTCAGCAAGACGTGCTTCAGGCCACAAACGGCCTCTGGAGGAGACGAGTCCTGTAAACGTCAATGACGTTGCTGCAAAGGCTTTGAAACAAGCCAAAAAGAACGCCGCTCGCCGACGGAGAAGATCCATCCGACGAGCACACTTACGAGAAAGCCGATTGTTGGCCCAACGCGAAGATCGCGTTTCTAAAGATCCAACCGAACCTGGCGTCCCCAAAGAAGAACGCTCACTGCGTGGCAATGAGCCCAACTATCAGCCTAGGCTGATACAGCTCAAACGCGACCCTGAGTGGCGCGTTGTTCACTCAAAACGCAGCCCTCAGAATGGAGCTGCCAAAACCAAACGCGACCCTCATAGGCGCGTTCCAATTGAACATGACTCTCAGGAGTCTGTTTCACAAATTAAACGCGACCCTCAGGTGCGCGTTCAAACGAAGCATGACTCTCAGGAGTCTGTTTCACCAACTAAACGCGACCCTCAGGTGCGCGTTCAAACGAAGCATGACTCTCAGGAGTCTGTTTCACCAACCAAACGCGACCCTCAGGGGCGCGTTCAACCAAAACTTGACCCTCAGAGGTCAGGTTCATCATTTAAACGCAGGCCTCGGCCTGGTGTTTACAACTCTCAACGCGACCCTCGCGTTATTTCTCAGGAACGCGATCTTCAAGAGGTCCGTCAGGTTCAGAAAAGTCAGCGTGGCTTTAAAATTCACGTTCGACAAGAACCAATCTCACCTACCCAAGGGCAGGGGGTTCCAACTCCACCTCCAAGTCCGGGGAAAGTTTCCTCCCAAGTTCCTGATCTGCGGGAATTATTGTCAAGAGGAAAATCAACAGTGCAAGCAGCTCACTCATGTCAATGTGAGAGGCTCATCTCTGCAGTCCTGTCAGAATGCCCTTGTTGTGCATCCACACCTCGGCAGTCCGTATTCGACAGGTTGACAAACGTTGTTAGGCCTGCCAAACGACAACGCCGCAACAAAAAGAAGACAGTTGAAGCGGAATACCCTCAGGTCACTATCAACATGATCGGCCGAGGGAAAGCCTTGCCTACTGATTCCGATGAGTCACAAGAGAGTCATCACTCGACTGTCAGAGAAATTTGTGACCAGTTCGAAGGAGTATATCAGAATACTCGGACTCGAACAGGAGCTATTCGCCCGGTTGACTATCAAAAGTTAGCCAAAGGCATTACAACAAGTGAAGAACATTCAGCAATAGCTGAATCTCAATCGTCAAGCTCTGTTGGAGCACGCGAGGTCTCCGCTTACATGTCAGGGAATCACGAAGACATCGCCAAAAGAGTGGACGAACATCATGTCATGCTCCAGGCGCAACAGGAGACACTTCTCCAATTGAAGGATATGTTGGCTCAGCTTCTTGCTGAAAAAGGCCACAAACCTGAGTCTTCCCGGAGAACAACTTCAAAGGGAAAACAAAAACTGCATGAATATTCAGACCGTGAGACTC